CCCCAAAACCCCAAAACCCCAAAACCCCAAAACCCCAAAACCCCAAAACCCCAGGACATTATATTTAAACTCATGGTTAAATATAAATGAAAACCCTCAAAATTGTCTGAAGCGTTACATTTTTAGCTGGAATACCTTCTTCTTAAGAGGTAGAACATTTTGGAGGATTTTTAGCATCTTCTTCTTATTTTTACTAGTTTCTGGTTTTGAGTTGAAATCACTCTCCTTCTTCCACTCGGGCTCTCTTCGTTTAGACTTTTGCAATCTTGGAGGAATTATTGGAGGGGGTTTTATAGGTGAATTTGCTATTGTCTCAAGCTTTACTGCTGAAAGAGAGTTCAAGTCATTCTTTACTAACTTTTTGAGCAATTTGTTCTTCTTTGATCTTCTAAAAATAATTTATGTTTGTTTGAATCTTATATGATTCTCATTCTAAGGTAAAGAATCTAGATTTTTGTTCACAGAGTAAATTTCTGATCATTGTAAATTTACACGAAGTGTACAAATTATGGTTAAAAGATTGAATATATTGGCAGAAGATTTTTAATTGTTTCTACGAATTATCGCCTACCTCTTAGATATTTTTTTCTTAAGAGTCTCTTTGATATCATAAAATTCATGAGCAGATGAAGGCCGTCTTGGCTTACTATTCTTATATAGTCAAGCCTGATTATTATATGCATTAGGTGATAATTTTCTGTTCCCCACTGTACTGAAGAAGCCAGAGCTTATCAGTTTATTTGTTTGTAGGAATGTTTCTTTGCATTGTAGGTAAAGTAGAACCATCAGTTCCTTCACATTCACCATTACCTTTTATGAAAGAATTAAAATTATTCTCAAATTTGAGATTAAGTATACTTCACCCATTAGAATTTTGGGTAGTGTTTCCATCGAATTTACCCCGTGCAGAAGAATTTCCATGGTTAGTATATTCATCTAGCATTAACGACTTCTTGGTCAGAGTGTTATAATCGCCTTCTCCAATAAACTTGGCAGTCTTAATGCGGTGAACCATATTTCGTGACTTTTTAAGTTTTCTTAACTTTTTATTTAACTTCCTCCTTCTACTTTTAGATTTGCCTTTCCTTCCTTGCATTACAGTTTGTTTTTTTAAAGATATATTGTAGTTGGCATTCTTTGCTCGGATAATATAGGAAGGGTTTTTCATTTTATTATTCTTTGGGGGACTTGGCATTACCAGTCTGTTGTCATTTCGTGCATCTAATTTCTCTGAATACTCAGTCAGGTCATCACCACTCCTTCTGTCATGGTTTGATGATACTGGTTCTTCTGTTTTATTTCCTACTCTTTGTAAGGGAATAGTCACTCTTTCTTTTAAAGGTGTCTTTTTGGTTGATTTTAACCTAAAATTCTCGATTTCATTATCATCAATGGTTTTCTTTCTTATCTTAGTCATCGGGGTCGGTGTTTTCTTTTCTCTTAATTGACTGTACTCCACTCTTTTAGGTTTATTTTGCCTATGTGAATGGTATGCATTGTCTACGATCTTCTGATTATGGAGATCGTTGGAAGTTTGGACTCATCTTAGAATGTTATCTATCAACTTCTGAGGAGGCTTTATTTTAAGATCTGTGTAAGTATCAAAACTAATGTATTCATGAATAAGATGCTTATTTATCTTAATATTCTCAGTCAACTTTTGGAAATTTTGAAGAAACGTCTCTTTTGTTCATACATTTTTGAGGAGCTTAATCTCCTTATTCAAGGCATTTGCTCCAAATAATTCCCAAGAATCAGCTTTTTCTTGAAGTCTAGGTATCAATTCACTCTTTAAAATAGCGAAAAGTTTACCTCTATTCGAGGTTCATTTTACTGTTGCTGTATGAAAGTCCCTCTCTGCATAAATGTCTTCATCTCCTATCAAAGAACCTCTTCAAAATAACTCAGGACAAAACATATTTTCGGTGCCATTATTTTCCTTTATTGGATTATTAATATCGAGGCTAGCTTCGCTTGAACTGTTAGACAGGCTTCCTGCATAATTCTGAATAAGTTCCTTGTGTATCTTAGCAATAGGTTTTTGTCTCTTATCAGAAATGTGCTCATGGATAAAATTATCCTCAGGAGATCTCTTCTTTCCAATTGTGACTAATTTATTTGCTTCGAATTCTCCTTCAAGGACAATATAAATGTACTCTGTTTTGTCACCTTCAGAATACACTTTAAAATTCCTCAGGTATTCTTTTTCAATAAAGAAATATGTCAGCTTTCCTACTGCAATTCTTGTCCAATCTTGGAAAATAGGGAGAGACTTAAAGAAATCAATCTTATTTATTCAATTCTTTTTCTTGAATTTTAAGTAATACTTTTTGGTAGTCAGCCTTCCCGATTACTGCAAAATAAGCTCCTGTTTTGGCCCTGATGGTTGCTGCACGAGGCTTGCTTGATATAAGAGCAAGTTCTCCGAAACTTGAGCCTCCTTTTAGAACTGATACTTCTGTATAATTTTCGTCTTCTTCTTCAGTAACCTCGTCTATAGGAACTTCTAAACTGTTTTTATGAGTTGTCTTATTAAGTATTTGAGATTGCTCATGAGCAGTTGTCTTTCTGTGTGCCATTTTGGTAAACCTTCTTGTAATACGCCTGATACTTCTTGGCTGTGCAGTATCATGATCACCTTCTGATTTATGTTCGTCTGATTCTGAAACTTCTTCAACATATGACATTTTCTTGCTAGTTTCTTGTTTTTTCTTTTTACCTGGAATCAAAACACTTGCACTTCCATGTAAGGTAATATAAAAGTTATTTCCATATTCTCCATACTTAATAACATCAAAACCCGCTGGTATAAATTCATACTTGAGCTTATTTACAAATATACCTCAGATCTTCACTAGTAATCTTATTCTGTTTGAAGAAATTTATATATCCTTAAGCAAAGGCTGTAGGGTGTCAAGATGGTTCTCTCTTCTGATGGGTAGCTTAAGAATTCTGATAATAGTACGAATTTTAGGAGGAAGTTCATCAAGGCTTTCAGAGTTGTCCATATTTTCAATTTAATTTTTATTCGCAGGGGTTTTGGGGTTTTGGGGTTTTGGGGTTTTGGGGTTTTGGGG